ACCCGTCGGCCGGGGTCGAGTCTCTACACACTGACCACTGCGTCTCCTCAGGTCGCTGCTGTCGGTCAGGTGTCTGCGTCAGGTCTGGTAGCCCACGCCTGTGAGTGTCGTTCCCTGTCGCACCAGACTCTTCTCTGGCACCACCGCCTGGGTCACCCCTCCTTGCCACGCCTTCGTGGCATGCACCGTCGCCACCTTGTGTCTGGTCTTCCCAGGTCCCTCCCTCCCCTCCCTGCCTCGCCTGCGCCGCCTTGCCTTCCTTGCGTCGAGGGGCGGCAGCGCGCCGCTCCTCACTCCTCCTCGTTCCCCCCGACAGAGGCTCCTCTGCAGACCCTCCACCTGGACGTGTGGGGCCCAGCCCGCGTTCGTGGTCAGGGCGGTGAGCGGTACTTTTTGCTGGTTGTCGACGACTACTCGCGTTACACCACGGTCTTCCCCTTGCGCACCAAGGGTGAGGTCCCTGCTGTTCTGATCCCTTGGATCCGCACGGTTCGTCTCCAGCTCCGCCGCCGTTTCCGGACGGATCTTCCTGTCCTGCGTCTGCACTCTGACAGAGGTGGTGAGTTTTCCTCCGATCTCTTGAGGACCTTCTGTCAGGCGGAGGGCATCGACCAGACCTTCACGCTTCCGGACTCCCCACAGCAGAATGGGGTTGCTGAGCGCCGCATTGGCCTGGTCATGGAGGTCGCTCGTACCTCCTTGGTCCACGCGGCGGCTCCCCATTTTCTGTGGCCGTTTGCTGTCCGGTACGCCGCGCATCAGCTCAACCTCTGGCCCCGTGTCTCCTTGCCGGAGACCTCGCCCACACTGCGTTGGACGGGGGAGGTTGGCGATGCGTCGCGCTTCCGGGTGTGGGGTGCTCGTGCCCTTGTCCGCGATACGTCCGCGGACAAGCTCTCCTCCCGCACGCTTCCCTGTGTCTTCCTTGGCTTTGTCCCTGACGCGCCTGGCTGGCAGTTTTACCACCCCACCTCGCGCCGGGTCTTCGCCTCTCAGGATGTCACCTTTGACGAGTCGGTCCCTTTTTACCGTCTCTTCCCCTACCGCACTGCCCCCCTCCCTCCCCCGCCACTTTTCCTTGCTCCTGGTCCCCCTCCGGTAGACCCCCTTCCCCCTCAGGGTCCTGCTCCTTCAGGTGTCTCTCAGGTAGACCCTCCTCCCGTCGCTGAGCCTGTCGAGGTCACAGGTGACTCAGGTGCTGCTGCGGGTGGTGCTGCTGGGGGTGCTGAGCCTGGGGGTGCTGGGCCTGGGGGTGCTGGGGCTGCGGGTGCTGGGACTGAGGGTGCTGGAGCTGAGGGTACTGTGCCTGAGAGTTTGCCGCCTGGGGGTGCTGAGCCTGGGGGTGCTGCGACTGGGGGTGCTGAGCCTGCGGGTACTGAGCCTACGGGTACTGAGCCTGGGGGTGCTGCTACTGAGCCTACGGAGCCTCGGGTTACTGCGTCTGGGGGTGCTCCGGTTCGGGGTGCTGAGCAGTCTCTCACACCGCAGCAGCTTCGTGACTGGTACGTCCGGCGCTTTCGCCGTCCTAGTGGCTCGGCTGGAGTTGGGGGTGCTGGGGCTGCTCGTCCTGGGGGTGCTCGTACTGGGGGTACTGGAGCTGCCGGGACTGGTTGTTCTGGGAGCACTGCGACTGGAGCTGCTGGAGCTGGGGACTCTGGCGCTGGCGGTGCTAGCGGAGTTGGAGCTGCCGACTCTGGGGGTGGCGCTGCTGCTGGTGCTGCGGACCCGCCTGGTGGAGCTGCTGCTGGAGCTGAGGACCCGAGCGGTGGCGCTGCTGCTGGTACTGGGGACCCGGACGTTGGAGCTCCTGCTGGTCCTGAGGACCCGGCCGCTGGAGTCTCTTCTGCTTCTGGAGACGCTGCGCGGCCGCGACCGTACTTCGTACCGCTCCTTCAGCAGGTTCTTGGGCAGGCTCCTCCTCCTTGTCCTCCTCCCTCCGTAGAGTGTCCTCCGCCTGTCCAGCCGCAGTCACAGTTACCGCCTGCCTCGCCTCTCCCTGCTCCCTCTCCTTACGCTGGTCCCACAGGAGGTCTTACAGAGCGTCGTGAGCCTGAGTCTCGTCCTGCGTCGCCTGTTCGTCCTGCTCGCACTGGTAGTCGTGTCCGTCGTGAGCGTCCTCCTCCTGTCCCAGGCACTCACTATATGACTCTGCGTCCCTCTACTGCTCCTCGGCGTGTCCCTCTCCCGTCTCCTCCTGCGTCCTCTTTGCCTGCCGTTCCGGACCCTGAGTCTGACCGGTATCGCGCTGAGCACCCTACAGTCACGCGTCTCCTAGCTACTGTTGTCACTGACCCTACCTTTGAGTCCTCGGCTGCGTCTGCTCTGGTCGCTGAGTTGGTTGACTTTGCTGCTGCCTGTCGTCTAGACTACGCTGCTAGCCTTGTTGCTGAGTCTGAGTCTGCGTCTGTCTGTCCTCCGTCCGTCGGGGGTGAGTGTGCTCTTGGCACGGACGTCCTTGAGGACAGGCAGGAGGACTTTGACTCTCTTGCGGCTGCTGTACCTCATCTCGTGGCCTGGTTGCTTGCCCCTGAGGGAGACCCGGATGCACTAGACATCCCCACTCCGCGCACTTACGCAGAGGCGATCTCGGGTCCCTACTCCTCTCAGTGGCAGACAGCCATGGACGCAGAGATGGCATCCTGGAAGTCCACAGGCACCTACGTCGACGAGGTTCCCCCTCCTGGGGCGAACATCGTCGATGGCATGTGGATTTTCAGGGTGAAGCGGCCGCCAGGTTCTCCGCCTGTCTTCAAGGCTCGTTACGTTGCTAGAGGCTTCAGTCAGCGTCAAGGGGTCGACTTCTTCCAGACCTTCTCCCCCACCCCGAAGATGACCACTCTTCGGGTTCTGCTGCACGTTGCTGCTCAGCGTGACTACGAGCTTCACTCTCTTGACTTCAGCACAGCGTTCCTGCAGGGCAGCCTGCACGAGGAGATCTGGCTGCGCCGCCCACCTGGCTTTACTGGGTCGTTTCCCCCTGGTACCCAGTGGAGTCTCCGCCGGCCAGTCTACGGTCTCCGCCAGGCGCCACGTGAGTGGCACGACACGCTGAGGACTACACTTGCGGCTCTTGGGTTCGCGCCGTCTACTGCTGACCCGTCGCTGTTTCTGCGCACAGACACGTCGCTGCCGCCGTTCTACATTCTCGTGTACGTCGACGACTTGGTCTTTGCTACTGCTGACACTGAGGCACTCGCTCGTGTGAAGTCGGAGCTGCAGAAGAGACACACCTGCACTGACCTGGGTGAACTGCGTAGCTACCTTGGCTTGCAGATCACCCGGGACAGAGCACGCCACACCATCACCCTGACTCAGTCACACATGGTGCAGCAGGTCCTTCAGCGCTTCGGCTTCCAGTTCTCCTCACCACAGGCCACACCTCTGGCTACCAGCCACTCGCTCTCAGCTCCACCTTCGGACGAGTCCGTAGAGCCGAGTGGCCCGTACCCAGAGCTTGTAGGCTGCCTCATGTACCTGATGACTTGCACGCGACCTGACCTCGCGTACCCTCTTAGCATCCTTGCTCGTTACGTTGCGCCTGGGAGACACAGGCGAGAGCACTGGGAGGCTGCTAAGAGGGTGCTGCGTTACTTGTGCAGTACATCAGGCATGGGGCTGGTGCTTGGAGGACGCGACAGAGTTGTCCTCACTGGTCACTCGGACGCTTCTTGGGTGGACGACCTGGCTACGCAGCGGTCGTCACAGGGTTACACCTTCAGCCTTGGCTCAGGTTCTGTCTCGTGGCGGTCCACCCGCTCTTCCTCTGTTCTCGGCTCTAGTTGTGAGGCTGAGATCTACGCCACAGCCATGGCTGCACAGGAGTTACGCTGGCTCACCTACCTGCTGACTGACTTGGGAGAGCGGCCTAGTTCTCCTCCAGTTCTGTACGGTGACAACAAGGCGGCTCTTGCCTTGTGTCAGGAGCACAGACTGGAGCACAGGACGAAGCACATTGCTCTTCGCTACTTTCTTGCTCGAGAGCTTCAGCAGCGCGGTCAGCTTCGGCTTGTGTACGTGGACTCGAAGGCCAACACTGCTGATATCTTCACCAAGGCGCTCCCGCCTAGTGATCATCAGCGGCACTGTACTTCTTTAGGCCTTGTGTCCACGTTTCCTCACTTGCTCACTGCTTGACATTCTTTGTACTGTACTTTATATATATTATGTTGCTTGCTTGCTAGGTTTTGATCACTGTGTTGCTTGTCTTGTACTATATCTAGCACTGCATGTGAATTGGCCTTGTGGCCTTTACTTGTGCTCGGAGTGTGGTGACGTTGTGATCCACCCTGGGCTTTGCTTTGCTTTGCTGGACTGGTCTTGTGACCCTTTGTTCTCCCCCACTTTGCCTATGGGGGTGTGTTAAACTGTATTATGCTTGTAGGCTGTAGTGGGGTAGCCAATATGGGGTACAACCCCAACTAGGGTTTCATATTTGTACCCAAACTTCTGCTAGTTCAATTCATTCTTGCCTAGTTCTTCTGAGACTTAAGGCTCACCTAGGTAGTAGTAGCTGAGTATAGGAGTCGGGGGCGTCAATGGAGTAGCCTGGAGAAGTTGAAGCAGAACGACACGAAGCAGAAAAGGACTTACGAAACCCTTGGTAGGTGTGTCTTTCGTCGACCAATAATTGGTCTTTCACTTTTAGAGGACACATTTTCGCGTCGCATTTAGCGTAGTGGTTTTGAAGTTTCGCCTGAATTCCGAAGGTTTTAGGTTAGATTCCCAACGTGAAGAATTTTGCAAATCTCAGTCTTGAGTTACGGACTCGGTATAAGTAGTTAGGTAATCATTCAAAACGAGATCCATAGTTAGTAATAAAAGTTGTAAAACATATGTTTATAATGCAAAACGCTTCGCAACCCTAGGACGACATTGTCGCCTCTTGTATTTTTTTTTTTTTTTTTTTCATTTTATGGTCAGATCTCGCCTCTAGAACATCCGCGATAAGGAGTTTGGCTCATTTACGAGTGCTGGTGGTAACGGGGTGAACGCGCTTCTGCATGTCTTCGTTTTCGCCGAACCAATCACTGCTTCTGGCTTGTGCTCAGCCATTTTTGCCTCGATTTCTCAACTCCCCCCGGCCCCCCACACCCTCCCCAAGAAGACCGTACACTACAGAACAGTACTAGGGACCGCAAACTGCAGGTACCCACAAGGCCTGCCGGCAACCACCCCGCCGCGTCGTGCTCTGTGTCTGCTGTGAGCAAGCTAGTACAGATAGAGGGATCAGAACTCAGGAGGAGCGATTTCTAGACCCCCAAGCAAACAACGCACCTGTAAGTTTGCCTTTGCGATGCTCGTTGGTTACACCTACGCTAGAATTCTAAAATTTGCTGTTCGTTACCGCTAGCGTGACGCTATGCATTGCGCTGCGCGTTGATCGGACGATCCTCGACGTGTCTTTAGTCGATGTAGCCGCGCCCGCGACTGTCTGAGCGAGTCCAAAGTGACCTTTGATTGGCCTCGAAGGTCTTACACGTATCCATTGCCAGAGATCACGTATGTCGTTATGCTCATAGACGAATTAATTTACATCTATCCCATGTTTCACACCATCCTCACTCCTCCGTACCACAAATGACCGTTACCCTTCTGCTGACTGCAAATGGTGGCGTCAGATTCGGGCGAGTACGAGTACGAGCCGTGGGCGGAGGAGCGCCGCGAGAGAATCCGACGGCGAGAGGCGATTATCAATGCCGTTCCCATCGCCCCCTCCCCCGCATCCGCCGCTAAAGCATCTCCACGCGCATTGGCCGCCGCACGAGCCAGCGCTGGCGGACTGACGGGCGCGAGCGGCGCAGCGGAGGAGCTGAGCTCGCCGTCGAAGAGCAAGGAGGGGAAGGAGGGGAAGAGCGCGGAGAGGCGAGACACGTGGGGGGGCGAAAGCAGCGTTGCGCGGTCGATTGCTCGCCCTATGACGTTCCTGCGGAGCGTGGTGCGCACGCAGGAGGGGGAGGCTGAATGGAGGGGGGCCGTGTGATTGTATGAGGGTGTCGTTTGAGTGTGATTGTATGAGGGTGTCGTTTGAGTGTGATTGTATGAGGGTGTCGTTTGAGTGTGGCATGGCATGTACTGCCTGATGTGACAATGTGTGGGGGGGGGGGGGATGAAAAGGGGGAGGAAAGGGGGGGGGGGGGGGGAAGGGGAATGTGGTGCCTGATATGACGATCTCGGGGGTTGTGCAACTGCAAGGCTGAGTTGTCCTCTCTATCTTTCTCAATGCCTCCCCATTCTCCTCTCAAGCCTCCTCCCATGTGTGCCTCCGTGTGTGCACCCCAATGCCAGGCGCGCTTTTACTGCACCATCTTCTTCCTCTTCCTCCTCCTCACCGCCTGCCAGGTGCGTTCACTACTTGTGCGCTCACTGGTCCCATAATCCCATGGTATCGTATTCCACCATGCCTTCACAACACCGCCCCTTCCCCTGCCCCCCTCCACCATTTCCTCTAAAATTCACCCTTTCCCCCCGCCTTCCTTCACCCTAACCCGTGCTCCCGCAAATCCCCTCTCCTCCCCCTCCTTTTCCCCCCCACCCGCGCCTGTGTGCCCCCCCCAGGTGTATTTCATGTGGACGGAGGAGCTGGGGGCGCTGGAGGTGTCGTCCACGGGCCTCTCATCGCTTCTCAACGCGGTGAGAGGGGGGTGAAGGGGTGGGCAAGGGAGGGGGCCGAGGTGTGTTCGGAAAAACGGGAAGGGATGGTGCAAGTGGGGATGTAGGAGGAAGGGAAAGGGGGGACAACGAGTGGGGGTGGTGCAAGACGAGAAGGGGGTTGCAAGGGTATGGGCTGAAGGCAAGGTGGAACGAAGTGTACAGTGATTAGCTTAGCTTGCTTCTCCATCCCTCACCCCCCATCTTTCTCCCTTCCCCTCTCCCCCTCTGCTGTGGCCAGAGCAAGCCAGCGAAGCTCACGCGGCGAGTCGTGCTCTCCACCATGGCGCGAGACATCATGGACCTGCAAGGTGGGCTCTAAGCTGCCACGAACTGAGCTCACAGCATGTAACGTGCTCAAACTGAGCATGTCATGTACGCATGATGGCCTGCCATCTCCTTGTGCCTCCAGCTTTTCCCTATCCGACTCCACCCACACATTTATCTGCCTTGGCTCCCTCTGCTCCTCTGCTCCTGTCCACTCCTGCCCTTCTATTCACCCCTCTCTCCTCTTCGCCCTCCCTCCCCTCTCCTCTTCGCCCACCCTCCCCTCTCCTCTTCGCCCACCCTCCCCTCTCCACTTCGCCCACCCCCCCCTCCCTTCCTCACCTCACCTCTCCTCTTCTCCTACCCTCCTCTCCCTTCCCTCACCACCCCGCCAGCCTCCCTCACGGCCAGCATGGCACAGCTACAGCAGCAGCAGGCAGCACTGGCCAATCAGACAGCCCAGTCAATGCAGGCCTTGGAAGCGCGGGTGACAGGTGGCAGCAGGCGATTGGTGGACTTCACGCGGGCCATGGGGGAGAAGCAGGCGGGGGAGGTGCAGGGCGTGCGCGCGCGCGTGGAGGAGATGGGGAGAGTGCTGGCCAAGCAGGGCGAGATGCTGGCGGAGCAGATGGCTGCTGTCACCGCGCTCAAGGTGGGTGGGGTGGGATGGGGTGGGATGGTTATGGCGTGACACTCTGCTGGCCTTGAGCTGGGTGCGTGGAGGTGCAGGGCGTGCGGGCACGCGTGGAAGAGATGGGGCGAGTGCTAGCCAAGCAGGGCGAGATGCTGGCGGAGCAAATGGCTGCTGTCACCGCGCTCAAGGTGGGTGGGGTGGGATGGTTATGGCAGGAGAGTCTGTTCCCTTCAAGCCCACCTGCAGTTTCCACCTGCAGTTTCCACCTGCAGTTTCCACCTGCAGTTTCTACCTGCAGTTTCTACCTGCCGTTTCCACCTGCAGTTTCCACCTGCAGTTTCTACCTGCCGTTTCTACCTGCAGTTTCCACCTGCAGTTTCCACCTGCAGTTTCCACCTGCAGTTTCTACCTGCAGTTTCCACCTGCAGTTTCCACCTGCCGTTTCCACCTGCAGTTTCTACCTGCAGTTTCCACCTGTAATACATCATGGACGACCACCCTGACCTCTGCTCCTCCTTCCCTCCCACTCCCTCTGCACCCCCTCCCGCTGCAGCCCCTGCCACTGCACCCCCTGTTACCGCACTGCACCCAGGCGGATCTGGAGATGCGCAAGGCGGCGGCCACCCCTCCCAGCAACTACACGCTGTACTACATCACGGACGACCATCCTGACCTCTGCTGTTCCTCCCTCCCTCCTACTGCACCCCCTGTTACCACACTTTACCCCTGTTACCACTCTACAACGCGATATTCTCATTTACAGGCGGACCTGGAAATGCGCAAGGCGGCAGTCACCCCTCCCAGCAACTACACGCTCTACTACATCACCGACGACCACCCTGACCTCTGGCGCCAACGCTCCTTCCGCCGCTATGCCTCCTACGGATTCGTCAAGTTCAGGTGAATCGCCAGATGATGAACTCTCTGGTGTATTCTCAGGTGATTTGCCACGTGTTCTAGATTGTTCGAGTTCGTCAGCCCATATCCCCGCGGTTCCCTTTCCCCTGCCCCCCTTCCTCCCTCTCCCCTCTCCACACCTACCATATGTCTTCATCGCACATTGCCATCCTGGGTCTGTCAGCGCTGGCACTGCACGAAGCGCACCGGCTGGTGTGATGACTACCACACAGCAACCCAACATGCTCTTCCCTCTCCCTGCCCCCCTCTCCCTCCCAGCGCCTACCGTGTGTCCCCATCGCGCATAGCCATCCTGGGCCTGTCAGCCCTGGCGCTGCATGGAGCGCACCGGCTGTCGTTCTGCGAGTGGCATAGCGTGGATGGGTCTGTCATCCCGGGCGTGCTCGAGATGATCTATGTGGGCGAGCACCATAACTTCCTGGTACATGTGACAACTGACACTCTTAATCACCACCTGCTGCTTCTCTGTGTGCTGCTGCTCTGTGTGCTGCGCGAGTGCAATGGCCATGTGAGATGCTCAAAGGAACGACTCTAGATTTCTTTTGTCGCGACAAATTATCAAAGGAAAATAATGTATTTCCCGTTTCTGCCCTACCCTTTCGTTCCCCCCCAGTACGAGACGGTGGTTCTCAACTGTCTGTTGGAATCACCTGTGCAATCACCTGGGGGCTACCTGAAGGCGCGCATCAACTCGGAGATCCTCTATCCCTTCAGGGAATCCAAGTCAGAGGTACACACAGGGGCATGTGTGGGGTGCACGGGGTGCAGGCATGAGGAGGTGTGTGTTGGGCTGTCTTGTGAAAAGCACTGTCATTCGGTGGGCCTGTCATGTGCTCTCTGCTATCTGCTGCCGTTCCCCCTCCCACCCCTCTTCCCCTTCCTTCCCGCCTCCCAGCCCCACCCAGCCCCTTGCCACCCCCACGGCCCCTGCCTGTCCTTCTGTGGGCCACGCCACCCATGTACGGTGCTTCTGTGGGCCACGTCACCCATGTACGGTGCTTCTGTGGGCCACGTCACCCATGTACGGTGCTTCTGTGGGCCACGCCACCCATGTACGGTGCTTCTGTGGGCCACGCCACCCATGTACGGTGCTTCTGTGGGCCACGCCATCCATGTACGGTGCTTCTGTGGGCTGTCTTGTGAAGAGCTGTGCCATGGAGCCGCGCGTGCTGCTAGAGTGGCTGGACTACCACCGCGTGTACGCCGCCGCAGACCACTTCATTCTCTTCCTCTATCAACCCTCCCCTCCCTTTCCCCCAGCCCATCTCGCCCCCCGCGGCCCCCTTCAAGCACAAGCTCTGTTTCTGTGGGCCGCCCATGTACGGCACCATGGAGCCAAGGGTCCTTTTAGAGTGGCTTGACTACCACCGCGTGTACGCCGCCGCAGACCATTTCATTTTCTATGATGCGGGGGCCGTGGGCGTGGCGGTGCGGCGCGCGCTGCAGGGGTACCTGGCAGGGGGCGTGGTGGAAATCACAGAGTTTCGGGAGGCGCAGCAGTGGGACACGTGGCTGTATGGGCAGGTGAGTCGTATGATTGCGCAGCAGTAGTTACTAGTAAGGTGAGTCTCCTTCCAGACTAGCTGCTCCTTTCATGTCGCTCACCACACTTTTGCTGCATCCCCTCCTCCCCTCTCCCTCACCCCCTCCTCTCTCTCCCTCTCCCCTCCTCTCCCCCATCCCCCCTCCCTCCATCCCACCAGTCACTGGCAATTCAGGACTGCATGTACCGGTCGCGCCGAACAGCCCAGTGGGTGTTCATGCAGGACTTCGACGAGTTTCTGGAACTGCTGCCCCCCCTCACCATGCCGGCACTGCTAGACAACTACCACGACCGCCCCTGGATCACCTACGGCTGCACCGTCTTCAACATGTCCTTCTGTGTCGACACTCCCCGCGACGCCTCCACTGCCTCGAATCCCAACCGCCGATCCGGGGACCTTCGCGGCGGCGCCGCCGCTGGTGGTGGTGGTGGGCGGAGGGTGCATATGGAGGGGCTGCTTATAGAGAGGATGCATTTCCGTTGGCCGCACGTGTACTGCATGGACACACAAAAGTACCGCCCCGAGCACTGTTTAGACCAGGAGGGGCACCGCAAATACATCCTCAACCCACGCAAAGTGCAGGCCGCTCAGATCCACATCGTGGTCAAAACAGAAGACACAGACAGGGGCACGGGAGCTGGTGGAGGGGAAGGTTCGGGGGAGGGATCAGGGGAGAGTGTGGGGGAGGGAGTGGATATGGATACAGACGACATGCGGCTGGCTCATTACAGGGGCCTGGCCACTAAGGGGTCGCGGATGTGCGAGCTGGGGGAGCCCAAGGACTGGTGGATGCGGTACGATAGGGTTGGGAGGATTGCCGCTGCCGTGTGGAACTGCCCGCTCGTCGCCAGTAACCGCCAGGTGGGGGGGTCTGGGGCAAGGTTGGAAGGCAGGGGGTGTTGGGGGGGGTGAGTGTGGGGGATTGTTGGAGGATGAATGAAGGGAAATAGAGCTAAGTGGAGATGACGGGAAACTGGAGTTCCTTGGCCAGTTTGTTTTCCTGCCTGACGTAAGCCTCTCTCTTCCTCTCTGCCTCTGGTTTTGCCCCGCACTGTGCTCATTGTCCAATGCAGGCATGCACACCCAGTGGCATCGCCACTACACTTGCAGCTACAGCCGACTCCCCCCCTTCCACCCGCCCGCAGTGACCTGCTAAACTCAGCTTTCAGGATTAACAAGGTGGAATGGGTTCTACCGTATCTCCTTTCCAGTTGCCAGTCTGTCATAGAATAGTAGAATAGTAGAATGAAAGTGCTCTTGCATATCGGTACCATATAGCACAACCCGTTGCCACAGCAGGACACACCAGGTGATGTGGTATGTGGAGGCAAAGAACACAAGGTAGTATGACAACAGCGTCATGCCTGCCCAGGCAAGGCAAGAATGTCGCTTGTGCCTGTGAATTGCACAATCTACGGTTTGCATTGGAGTTTGGCTTGTTGCGGATGTGAAGTACTGATCAGGAACAACAATCTGAGCGCACTCTTCTCATCACACTTCTATCTACACCACCTCCTACATACAGTGCCTTTTAGGAGGATCAACACTAAGAAACCAACCCTTGACTTCTACTGGGACCACCAAGTTCACTGCTCCGATAGCATCCTTGAGCAATGCTCAGAGCCTACCGGTATACCCCCCAATGAAGCTCAGAGTCACTTGGAAGACAGGCTTCCCTCAATGCCAGACTTGACGTTCCTTCCTGCCCATCTGCCCCACTCTGCTTGTAAACCCCATCACCACTTTCGAGGCACCTCTCCAGGGTCAAGCTCAGTGCTCCTTGGGAGACAGGCCGCCCTCAAGGCCCGACTTCACATTCCTGCCGATCTGCCCCACCTTGCTCATGAACCCCATGGCCCCACTCCTCCTCTTGGGCTTCCCATCAGGCCCCGGCGACAGCGCAGGGGACAGGGGAGCCTCCCCTTCCGCGTCTGCTGCTGCAGCTGAGTCTGCTGGGTCTGACGACACATGCAGAGAGCCCTCCCTATCCCGGTGCTTCAAGTCACCCATGGACCGAGCCAGACTTGGGCCAGCACGGGCCGCTGGTGGTGCTGCTGCTGCTGCTGCTGCTGCAGCAGCAGCAGCAGCAGCAGCAGCAGGGGCGGTATCAGCAGCAGTGGCAGCTGCGTCAGCAGCAGGGGCGCCAGGGGCAACGGAGACAGGCAGCGCATCTTCGGCCGCATCAGAGCTGCTCCTTTGGGACTGCTCCGCGCCCTTGGTAGACTTCTGCCCCACCTCAGACGCACGCCGGGCCATGGATGCTCGCGGGGTTTTGGGGGTCATGAGGGCGCGCTCAGCCGCCTCGCGCACGCGGCGCTCGGAGTCGGCAGCAGCGGCAGCCATGGCGGCAGAGGCCTGGTCGGCCGGCACGCTGTGGTCCTTTATGCGCGCCCCACGTGCCTTCTCTGCTGCGGTCGCGCTGTCCCTCTCCTCGTCTGAGTACTCACGATACGCCAGCTGCACGGGCGGTGCAGGTGAGAGAGAGGGAAAGGGGTGGAAGGAGGAAAGGGGTACACATTTGAATCTTAACAAGGCCTTCTCTGCTGCGGTCACGCTGTCCCTCTCCTCGTCTGAGTACTCACGATACGCCAGCTGCACGGGCGGTGCAAGGGGGAAAGGGGAGAGAAGAGATGCAAAGAATCTTCACACCCTCCTCCTTTGTGCAGCTTTGAGACATCCCATCCCACACCCCCCTCCTTCGCCCCTCCACCTTCCCCACCCTTCTTTCTGTCTCGCTCACCAGCAGAGTGATGCGGCCCAGCTTGTGGTCCTGGCCCAGCAGCTTGTGGTCGTGCGGGTGCAGCTAAAGCAGCCCCTAGGAGCTCACTGCAATGAGGAAACGGTCCACACTGATCCAACCCCCCATACCACAGCCCCCTGTCTCGCTCACCAGCAGCGTGATGCGTCCGAGCTTGTGGTCCTGGCCCAACAGCTTGTCGTCATGCAGGCGCGGCAGCAGGTCGAGGGTGACCTGGTAGGGGCCGCTCTTGTCCATCAGGTCCGCCAGGGGGAACAACGCCCACCCCAGATCCGAGTCTTGCATCACGTCATCGTCCTCCACCTGTATGGGAGGGGAGGGGTGTGCGGTGATGAAAAGAGGCACAAGGAGGGAGAGTAAGCAAGTGCACCCCTGTGCCTTTCACAGCCACCCCACATCCGAATCTGCCAGCATGTCATAATCCTCCACCTCATGGGAGGGAAGGGGGTGCGGGAAGATTAAGAGGCGGAGCGAGAGTGGGGGATGGGATGCAACGGAGCGAGAGGGGGAGCGGAGAGGGGTTGAGGGTGGGGTTGAGGGTGGGGTTGAGGCACACGGTAGCATGGGGTTCTGACTTGCCCAGCCCAGCACAACATTGCGCTCAGAAGCAGCACGCACGCACTGACTGGCACTCACCTTAATGGTGAGCTCGGCTGTGTGCGGGTCATCGACGGGCAGCAGGAACATCTCGTTCCACACCGGGTTGAGGTTGTTCTTACACACGCCCGTCTTGGCCATGTGCTTGGGGTTGAGCCAGATGGTGGTGTAGGGGTCGGACTTGCCCAGCGTGTCCACGTTCTTCACTCCCTCTGCCCGCACCACCGTCACCACCAGCTCCCCCTCATACTTCATCTCCAGCAGCCTGCGGGTAGTGTGGGGGGAGACGACACAATGATGTGATGTGCTCCCCCTCCGCTCGCATCACCTGCACCACCAGCTAGCTCCCCCTCATACTTCATCTCCAGCAGCCTACGGGTAGTGTGGGGGGAGACGATGATGTGATGTGATGTGATGTGATGTGCGCATGGGAGGGGGCTGCTGACTGGTCAGTGACACTGTGGGAAACGAGAGTGACTACAGCAGGTATGAGTGGGTGTATGTGTGTGAGGGTCTGTGTGAGAGGGTATGAGCAAGTGTGTGTGAGAGGGTATGAGCAAGTATGTGAGAGAGGGTATGAGCAACTGTGTGAGAGAGAGAATCTGAGAGGGTGTGTGAGGGTGTGAGTGAGTGAGACGGAGTGAGCTTGAAGTTACTCACTTGTCATCAAAGGCTGGGTTGAGCTTGACAAAATGATGTGCTCATGCCACAATGTGTTTGACTCCAGCACCGATGCCACCGTGAGGGTGACGTGTGTGAGAGGGTGTGAGTGAGAAGGCATGAGATGAGTGTGTGACCAAGACTCACTTCTCATCGAAGGCCGGGTTGAGCTTCACCACAATGCGCTCGGGCCACAATATGTTTGACTCCAGCACTGATGCCACCGTGTTCTGGTGCCGTGCGGTTGGATGCGGTGCAGTGGGGTGGGAAGGGAGGGGATAGGGTCATGAGGGGACGGGAGAAGTGGAGCGGTGAAAAGATGGGAGGGGGGGGGAAGGGAGATGAGTGAAGGGAATGGAGGAGTGTGAGGGGCGCACAACGGACGCCACCACCACTGCTGGCACTATGGGCTGCTACCATGTGGGCTGCTACCATGTCAACAGAATCGTTTGACGCGCCTCAACAGTAAGCACACCGTCAGCCATCCCCCCACCCAGCACCCAGCAATCCTTCTCCCCCAGCGACCTGAGCGCAGAACTCACGTCGATCTGCTTCTCCAGCCCTGGAATGGCCGAAAGCGACCCCCCCACCGCCTTGAGCACAAAATCCACCTTCGGCCGCGGCTGGCAGGGCGCACCGGGGGGGGGGGGGGGGAGAGGAGAGAGCGCGAGAGGAGAAGAGGGAGGAGGGAGAGTGAGAGAGGGGGGAGAGAAGGGGGAAGAGAGGGGGGGGGGGAGAAAGAGGGGGTCACGCAGTACGGAAAAGGTGGAGTGAAGGGAGGCAGTTTGAGGCGCTTCAAGAGAAGAAAGGGAGTAGCAGGAGGAGAGGTTGCGGGGTAAAACAGCAAGTGGGTACAGGAATGGGTAAGAGAAGCATGGAAAGGGAACAGGCGAATTGGAATGAAGGACTGGGGATAAGAAAGGGCGGCCAGCAAGAAATCAGACTTACCTGGCAGCACGCACTCGCCTTGCTGTCCCACACACTCCCCTCTCCCCACCACATCCCGCCCCACACAATCCCATCACCCCACACCACACCACACCTTGGTGCCCTTTCCTCCCATCACTCCACGCCACACCACACCACACCACACCGCACCGCACGGCAGCGCACCACACCTTGCGCAGCAGCGAGGCGACGACAGCATCGATGCAGGGCATCTGCTCGCCCAGCTGGAAGATGAGGCGTAGCGTGGCCCGGAACACCAGGTTCTTCACCTGCAGATGGGGAGGCGGGGGAGAGACAGCGGGAAGAGGGGGAGAAGAGGGGGAGAGGAGGGGGACACGGGGCGCAGATGAGGCACAGCGTGGCCCGAAACACCAGGTTCTTCCCAACCCGCATCCGTACCCCCAGTTCACAATTGAATCTCATTTAAATCCCTCCATGCCCAAGCTCTTGACGCCCCACCCCTTGCCAACTCGCTCGCCATTCCCCACTCTCTCTCACGCCCCACCCCTTCCCAGCTCGTCCACTCCCCACCCCTTCCCAGCTCGTCCACGCCCCACCCCTTCCCAGCTCGTCCACGCCCCACCCCCTCCCAGCTCGTCCACGTCCCACTCTCGGCATGGCATGACGGCGGCGGTGTTGCTGTTGAGAGCACGAGGGACTGTAGGGCGCCTCACAAGTCCGCCGTGCTCTCACAGTCCACCAATACACCCACCCCTCTATCGTCCACCAATACACCCACCCCTCTATCGTCCACCAATACACCCACCCCTCTATCGTCCACCAATACACCCACCCCTCTATCGTCCACCAATACACCCACCCCTCTATCGTCCACCAATACACCCACCCCTCTATCGTCCACCAATACACCCACCCCTCTATCGTCCACCAATACACCCACCCCTCTATCGTCCACCAATACACCCACCCCTCTATCGTCCACCAATACACCCACCCCTCTATCGTCCACCAATACACCCACCCCTCTATCGTCCACCAATACACCCACCCCTCTATCGTCCACCAATACACCCACCCCTCTATCGTCCACCAATACACCCACCCCTCTATCGTCCACCAATACACCCACCCCTCTATCGTCCACCAATACACCCACCCCTCTATCGTCCACCAATACACCCACCCCTCTATCGTCCACCAATACACCCACCCCTCTATCGTCCACCAATACACCCACCCCTCTATCGTCCACCAATACACCCACCCCTCTATCGTCCACCAATACACCCACCCCTCTATCGTCCACCAATACACCCACCCCTCTATCGTCCACCAATACACCCACCCCTCTATCGTCCACCAATACACCCACCCCTCTATCGTCCACCAATACACCCACCCCTCTATCGTCCACCAATACACCCACCCCTCTATCGTCCACCAATACACCCACCCCTCTATCGTCCACCAATACACCCACCCCTCTATCGTCCACCAATACACCCACCCCTCTATCGTCCACCAATACACCCACCCCTCTATCGTCCACCAGTACACACACCCCTCTATCGTCCACCAATACACCCACCCCTCTATCGTCCACCAATACACCCACCCCTCTATCGTCCACCAATACACCCACCCCTCTATCGTCCACCAATACACCCACCCCTCTATCGTCCACCAGTACACACACCCCTCTATCGTCCACCAATACACCCACCCCTCTATCGTCCACCAATACACACACCCCTCTATCGTCCACCAATACACCCACCCCTCTATCGTCCACCAATACACCCACCCCTCTATCGTCCACCAATACACCCACCCCTCTATCGTCCACCAATACACCCACCCCTCTATCGTCCACCAATACACCCACCCCTCTATCGTCCACCAATACACCCACCCCTCTATCGTCCACCAATACACACACCCCTCTATCGTCCACCAATACACCCACCCCTCTATCGTCCACCAATACACCCACCCCTCTATCGTCCACCAATACACCCACCCCTCTATCGTCCACCAATACACCCACCCCTCTATCGTCCACCAATACACCCACCCCTCTATCGTCCACCAATACACCCACCCCTCTATCGTCCACCAATACACCCACCCCTCTCTCCCACTTCCCAACTCTGTCGCCCACGCGCCCACCTGCACTTGCAGCGTGACGACAGCCGTCTTGATGTTGAGAACGATGGAGGCGTCACGCACCGCTTTGCCAGTAGATGAGTCAACCCCAACTGCCCCCCCACACCCAACCCGACTAACGGCCCACATGCCCACCTGCACTTGCAGCTTGACAGCAGCCGTCTTGATGTTGAGAACGATGGAGGCGTCGCTCTGCCAGTAGATGAGCAGGTCCATTATCACCTGGTCCTCCTCCGCGCCCGTCTTGTGCAGCTTGATGCCTGGGGGATGGGGGGGAAAGGGAGGGAAGGAGGGTTCTCTGAGGTGGCTCAGGAGCAGCAGACGAGCAGATGAGCAGACTTATAATCACCTGCTCCTCCTCCGCGCCCGTCTTGTGCACCTTGATGCCTGCAAAAGGGCAGAAAAAGGCGAGAGTGGCGGGAGAGCGGGGGTGGAGAGCAGGTGGAGGGGGGGGGCAGGTGGGGGGAGGGAGCAGGTGGAGGGGGGGAGCAGGTGGAGGGGGGAGCAGGTGGAGGGGGGGAGCAGGTGGAGGGGGGGAAGAAGGGGAGATGATCTCACCATAATCTCAGTCCTTTTCCACTCCGAACTTGTACAAGTCGGGGCGGCCGGTTGGGCTTGCAGGCGACTCTCTCTCTCTCTCTCTCTCTCTCTCTCTCTCTCTCTCTCTCTCTCTCTCTCTCTCTCTCTCTCTCTCTCTCTCTCTCTCTCTCTCTCTCTCTCTCTCTCTCACACACACACACACACACACACACACTCACTCACTCACACTTGCACGCAGAGGGGGGTCGTCGCACCTTGTACGTGCGGAGCCTTCTCGTGGTCCTTGCCCAGCTCGAACTTGTGGAAAGTCATGGACGAGACGATGGACGGGCGGCTGGGCTTGCAGGCGACTCACAACACATGTACGTATGCGGACAAAACACGCGTGTGCACGCACGCGCACACACACACACACACACACACACACACACACTCCCACCTTCCACATGCGGAGCCTTCTCGTGGTCCTTGCCCAGCTCGAACTTGTGGAAGGTCATGGACGAGACGATGGACGGGCGGTTCGCCTCTAGTATCGGCTCCATGGTCTCGCGCACCACCTCACTCGTCGCCTGCAGATCGAGGGAGGAAGGGAGAGGGGGGGAAAGGGTATTGAAGGAGGTGTGGAAGGTTATGTGCGGGTGCTTCGCGTCCAGCACGGGCCACATCGTCTCGCGTCTCGAGCACCCCTAGACTGGTCCCACCATGTCATACGGGACGAGATGGGAACGAAGACGAGCAGAGGGGGTTTGATGGCGAGGGGAGAGCCCGCAAGCCTCTGAGGCGCATCAAGGGAGCGCGCACAAGGAGCGAGCGCAATGGAAGGAGACAGATGGGGAGGATCATGGCATGGCGACAGGCAGGCTCACCTTGTTGATGTGCGGCCATAGCTCCGCTAGCATCCGCGTGACCCAATCCGCCTGCACGCGGAGCGACGAGTGACAAGGACGGATAGCGGTGACGGATGGAGAGGGGCGAGGGGTGGGAGCAGGGACATGCGACGGGCGACGAGGACGGATGAAGGAGGAGCGGCACAGCACAGGTAAGCGATTGAGCACAGCAACCAAGGAGGAAGGCAGCGATGTGTGCTCGTCGGGATGACAACAAGGAAGAGAATGGGACTAAACGAAACAGATGGCTAACATTCGTCAGCAGATTCGATCGTACTTAGTCGAATCCAGTCACATCCGTCGAATCTAATCATACCACGACGAATCCGAACCAAACGAGATCGCATTGAACCGCACATCATCGTATTCGGTGAACTTGACCCAAGTGGGGCAGAGCGGCCCGCAGATGGCTTTAAGCTCGTTCAACCCGATTCCCTGCACCGCCATCAGATCGCTCTTCTGCAAAAGAAGTCACGCGGAATAAATGCCAGGACCGCGGATGCGGGACAGGGAGGGGCGGTGATGAAGAGAGGAGGCCAGAAGGAGGGGAAGTGGAAAATGTGAATCGATGAATGTGAAAATGTGACAAGGGTGGAAACGACAGAGAGAGTCCGAAAGAAAGGGATGGGAATCACGAAAGACTGGGAAGAACGACGAGGGAGAGGGAGTCAGCGCCGAGACGCGAGTCGAGTCGCGAATCGGCTAACGTGGCGTCGCTGTGAGCCACGCCAGCAGATCACGGCATTCCGGGGCGAATCCGAGACGTTAAGACTCCGCGTCACTATTGTCGGCGTAAGCGACGCGACGCAAGAAATCTTGAAACATACCCCCTCTCGACAAAAACACGAAGAGCAAGCGTCGATAAATAACTGCAGGAACGGCGTGTGATAAATAAAGAAAGGTAGAAACGAAACCTAAAATAGGTTGAGATATACCACGGCGTTCCTCTTGGCCTGGCGGACGGCCATGAAGTAGTTCCAGGCGTACATGATGACCACGCCGATCACCAACCCCACCAGCACGCTCGACACGAACCCCATGGCTGCCGCCGCTCCCGCCGCCTCGCGTCACCGCCGAGAAGCTGCGCACGCGAACCGAGGAATTCGCTCCACGGGAGCCGCCTAAGTTACGCCCGGATAGAACGCCTGACTAGGCGAAAATCTGCCTTGTTTTCAACGAAGTGCCTGAGTTCCCGGCGTGGAATGTCCGTCTATGGATCGTATCCGTGAGGCAGACACAAAATGGCTAAGCTGTATTGTATGTGTCGCTGCGCTTTCACATTGAGCTCGGGCGCACAAGTACACCAGGTCGAGTGGGGCGGGGCGGAGGCGGGCGGCGGAGCGGGGTGGGCGGAAGGACAGTCGCTACGGAGATTCCGACTGGACTGGACGGTGCCATCGAAACATTTCGTCATTCGCGTTGCGATAAAGAATTATTGCAATTAAGCGAATTGCAAAAGATATAAAGCTAATAGTACTTTTACTATTCTGGCATGTGACTGTAGCGAGTTGCGCAACTCAATGAAGGAACAGAACTATACGAGACAAATTTGCAGCTTTATATGTATCAATCTACATATCAGTGGGCTACAGAAACTCTGGGAAGAACAGTGGTAGTAACCACACTGCCTTCACAACCTCATATGCAGCCCCCAAGCAGTCCCACCAAGCGGTATACCACCACTGCTCCAACCACCACCACTCGTCACCACACACCACCAACCAACACCTCCACCACCACTTCTCACTACCAGCACCTCCATCCAGGAGGCTAAGTGACACTCCCTCACTGCCAGGCAGCAGTGCCACTGCATGGCATGGCATGCGATGTCCACCACTCCTCACAGAGAGGAGGGCAGTGAGGTGAGGCAGAGTGCTAGCGGAGGGGGGCTGAACCCCCTGGGTAAGGCGAGAGCAAGGAAAAGAGAAAGAGGTTGAGCTTCTAAGAGCATGGCTTGTGAAAAGCAAAAGAAAGGGACTGAAATGACCAGACCAAGGCAAGCTAAGGACAGAGGAGGGACCTGCCCCTTGCTTGCCTCAGCCTGGGGATTCCAATCCCCCTCCCCCCCTTGCCCTCACAAGCCTTTCCCTGAAAGGCCAACCTCCTTCCCCCGCCTTGCTCTCCCCACCACTCCCCACAGCCACTCGCCAGCAGCACCACAGCAGCAGCAGCAGCAGCAGCAGCAGCAGCAGTGAGGCTATGAGCCAGCCCAACGCTTGAACCCTCACCGACGTAGCAAGAGGGGAGCCCCACTGCCACCCCACCTCCACCTCCACCACCACCCCCCCCAGAGGGTACCTGTCAGGGGGGAGGGGAGGAAAACTATCTTTTTTCTAAAGTAAAAGAATTGGAGAAGCAAAGGAGGGCAAGAAGAAAGAACAACCGAAGCAGAATGAAGCACGATGACAAAGCAAGTGAAGCTGAATGTGAAAAAGCAAGAGAAAGGAAAGAGGCAGAATCTTGCTGTCTTACCTTGCACATAGCAGCGAGCCCCTTAGTCCGCTAGTGGCCGTGAAAGTCTGCGCAGCAGCAGCAGAAGCAGCGTGGAGTGGAGAGCAGAGAGGAGAGCCAAGGTACCTGCTACGGAAGGAAATATGGGGTGAAAAACACAAGTGAGTGGAGGCAATGAAGGCACATGCAGAGAGAGCGACATGCCAAAACAAGCACACATGCAGGAACGAGCTGTGCTGCTGCGCACACCCATGGGACTTTTCTGTGGGGGTTATCCCCTCAACCTTGCAGTCTGAACCTGTTACCTGGGGAGCCCTAGGGCGTGCTACAGGCAGCTAGGGCGGTGCGAGGTGAATGAAAGAGAGAAATTGCAGAAGCAAGAAAAGACGGAGGCAAAGAGGGAGTGGGGAGGAGGGGAAACGGGCTGCGGGCTGCGGGCTTGGGCTGCGGGCTGCGGGCTCGGGCTCGGGCTCGGGCTCGGGCTCGGGCTTGGGCTAAGGCCTCAGTTGCGAAAGACGCGTCATGCGTCTTAGACGGGCGCGTCCAGACGCAGCGTCTTAGACGCAGGACGCTTCATGTGGGCCTTGGGAGACGCTACAAAAGACGCATGCTCGGGCAGGGCAAAAAACGGGCAGCCAAAAAAACATGTCTAAGGGCATGGGAAGGGGGGGGAGGACAACGTAACACACATGTGAGGCAAAAAGGTAGCTAGGGAGCGAAAGGTAGCACTATGGAGCGAAAGGTAGCTAAACCCTCTAGGGTTTACGAAGGAGGATTGTGTTCATATAAAGATATTGAGCAGAAATGAAGAGTTTAAGCTCCTAAATGGGCTTGGTGGTGGTCTACCATGGTTTGGTATTCTAGATGTAGTTGGGTTGTTGTGAGGGGTTAGGTTTACAATTTTGGTGATGGGGGGTTACAAATGCAGTGTTGTTTGTGGGCTGTTTTAGATGGTCGAAATGGTCGGATTTGACAGTCGTGTCGAAATCGCGAATGTCAACTTCGCGCTGGCGAATAATTTATTCCGGTCAGCCCGAAAAAAAGAAAAACCGCCGTGCGTCCTGCGTCTGGACGCGCGTCCTGCGTCCCTGTGTCCAAACGCGGGACGCATGACGCGCCCTACGTCTTTCGCAACATGGGCTTGGGCTTGGCCTTGGGCTTGGCCTTGGGCTTGGGCTTGGCCTTGGCCTTGGGCTTGGCCTTGGGCTTGGCCTTGGGCTTGGCCTTAGGTTTGACCTTGGGCTTGGCCTTGGGCTTGGCCTTGGCCTTGGCCTCGGGCCTCGGGCCTTGGGCCTCGCGCCTCGGGCCTCAGGGGCCTCGGGCCTCGGGGGCCTCGGGCCTCGGGGGCCTCGGGCCTCGGGGGCCTCGGGCCTCGCGCCTCGGGCCTGGCGCCTCGGGCCTCGCGCCTCGGGCCTCGGGCCTCCGGCCTCGCGCCTCGGGCCTCGTGCCTCGCGCCTCGGGCCTCGGGCCTCCGGCCTCGGGCCTTGGACCGCGCGCCTCGGGCCTCGGGCCTCGCGCCTCGGGCCTCGGGCCTCGGGCCTCGCGCCTCGGGCCTTAAGCCTCGCGCCTCGGGCCTCGGGCCTCGCGGCTCGGGCCTCGGGCCTCGGGCGGGCCTCGGTCCTCGCGCCTTGGGCCTCGGGCCTCGGGCCTCAAGCCTCGGGCCTCGGGCCTCGGGCCTCGCGCCTCGCGCCTCGAGCCTCGGGCCTCGGGCCTCGCGGCTCGGGCCTCGCGCCTTGGGCCTCGCGCCTCGGGCCTCGCGCCTCGGTCCTCGGGCCTCGGGCCTTGGGCGAACGTGAATGGGGGCGAACGTGAATGGGGGCGAACGTGAATGGGGGCGAACGTGAATGGGGGCGAACGTGAATGGGGGCGAACGTGAATGGGGGCGAACGTGAATGGGGGCGAACGTGAATGGGGGCGAACGTGAATGGGGGCGAACGTGAATGGGGGCGAACGTGAATGGGGGCGAACGTGAATGGGGGCGAACGTGAATGGGGGCGAACGTGAATGGGGGCGAACGTGAATGGGGGCGAACGTGAATGGGGGCGAACGTGAATGGGGGCGAACGTGAATGGGGGCGAACGTGAATGGGGGCGAACGTGAATGGGGGCGAACGTGAATGGGGGCGAACGTGAATGGGGGCGAACGTGAATGGGGGCGAACGTGAATGGGGGCGAACGTGAATGGGGGCGAACGTGAATGGGGGCGAACGTGAATGGGGGCGAACGTGAATGGGGGCGAACGTGAATGGGGGCGAACGTGAATGGGGGCGAACGTGAATGGGGGCGAACGTGAATGGGGGCGAACGTGAATGGGGGCGAACGTGAATGGGGGCGAACGTGAATGGGGGCGAACGTGAATGGGGGCGAACGTGAATGGGGGCGAACGTGAATGGGGGCGAACGTGAATGGGGGCGAACGTGAATGGGGGCGAACGTGAATGGGGGCGAACGTGAATGGGGGCGAACGTGAATGGGGGCGAACGTGAATGGGGGCGAACGTGAATGGGGGCGAACGTGAATGGGGGCGAACGTGAATGGGGGCGAACGTGAATGTGGGCAAACGTGAATGGGGGCGAACGTGAATGGGGGCGAACGTGAATGGGGGCGAACGTGAATGGGGGCGAACGTGAATGGGGGCGAACGTGAATGGGGGCGAACGTGAATGGGGGCGAACGTGAATGGGGGCGAACGTGAATGGGGGCGAACGTGAATGGGGGCGAACGTGAATGGGGGCGAACGTGAATGGGGGCGAACGTGAATGGGGGCGAACGTGAATGGGGGCGAACGTGAATGGGGGCGAACGTGAATGGGGGCGAACGTGAATGGGGGCGAACGTGAATGGGGGCGAACGTGAATGGGGGCGAACGTGAATGGGGGCGAACGTGAATGGGGGCGAACGTGAATGGGGGCGAACGTGAATGGGGGCGAACGTGACGGGAATAGGGGCGAACGTGAATGGGGGCGAACGTGAATGGGGGCGAACGTGAATGGGGGCGAACGTGAATGGGGGCGAACGTGAATGGGGGCGAACGTGAATGGGGGCGAACGTGAATGGGGACGAACGTGAATGGGAGCGAACGTGAATAGGGGCGGACGTGAATGGGGGCGGACGTGAATGGGGGCGGACGTGAATGGGGGCGGACGTGAATGTGGGCGGACGTGAATGGGGACGGACGTGAATGGGGGCGAACGTGAATGGGGGCGAACGTGAATGGGGGCGAACGTGAATGGGGGCGAACGTGAATGGGGGCGAACGTGAATGGGGGCGAACGTGAATGGGGGGCGAACTTGAATGGGGGGCGAACGTGAATGGGGGCGAACGTGAATGGGGGCGAACGTGAATGGGGGCGAACGTGAATGGGGGCGAACGTGAATGGGGGCGAACGTGAATGGGGGCGAACGTGAATGGGGGCGAACGTGAATGGGGGCGAACGTGAATGGGGGCGAACGTGAATGGGGGCGAACGTGAATGGGGGCGAACGTGAATGGGGGCGAACGTGAATGGGGGCGAACGTGAATGGGGGCGAACGTGAATGGGGGCGAACGTGAATGGGGGCGAACGTGAATGGGGGCGAACGTGAATGGGGGCGA